CCCCCCTCCCCCAGCGGCAGTGGGTGTGCGGCCCGACTCTGCGAGGGTGATCCGGGAAACGTGACGGTGCTCAGAGGACACCCTCGGCCCTGCCAGACGCAGGGGAGGCCACAGGAGCCGCCGAGAGTGGGTCTCGGCACCTGAGTGGAGACAGCGGAACAGGCGGTCAGAGGACAGCCCGGCTCCCTGCGCCGTCTAAGTGGGGGTTTCCTTCCAGGCTGTGTTACAGGGGCTCCTCCCGGCTCCCTGGGCTTTCTGCAGGACGGGCCCTGACGCACTGAGGGGTCTGCCCACCCCACGCCTCCCTCTCCCATCTCCCTCTACCCCCAGCCACCAGGAACGCGTCTCCTCTCACTCATGGCCTGAATGACAGCAAGGTCTGGTGAGGTGGGCCAGGGTCTGTCTAAGCCGGGGCCCGGAGGGTGTCTCTGCCAACCCTCACCACCTGCATGGGGCAGAAGCTGCGAAGACAGCCCCCAGCCCGAATGCCCTGGGGACACTTCCCACCAGGTCTGGCTGTCTCCTAGCCAAGGACAGGCTCCCTACCATAATTAGAGTCTTCCCTGGGAAAGAAACGGCACAGCTTAGGAGCCCCGCCAGGCTCAGGGGGCAGACCCTGAGCAAAGCCCTCTCAGCCCAGAGGGGCCCCGCGTGCCAGCAGGAGGGCTGAGAGCCGGCCGCCGAAGCGAGATGGCCAAGAGCCCAAAACGAGCCCCGGCCTAGCAGTCGGAGCCGAGGAGGACGCACGCCTGTGTCCGTCCCTAACATGTTCCCTCTCACGCCACACACCTAACCAGCCTCAGCCACCACGTCCTCAGCAGATGGGGGCCTCCACGCCTGCTCTCAGGTCCCTTCCAGACCCGCCCGAGGGGCATCGGAAAGGCATGGGGCATTTCAGCTTTCGGGGTTCCGCACAAAGCTTACTGTGTCCGCGTGGCTCCCCACTAAGCCGGGAGTAGGCATGGCCTGTGGCCAGCTTGGGGAGAGCGGAGGAAAGGCCCAGCCACGATCCCCACGTACAGGAGACAGCCCGATCGCCTCTCCCGAGAGACCCGCAGAAACCCTGCGAGAAGATACCTTTTTCTGCAGCTCCTGGATGGTGGTCTCCCAGTTTTTATCCTCCTGTGAGATTTGTCTGGAAGAGAACTGCTCGTTATCCCCTGGCTGTCCCGAGCGGACAGGCCGCCCCTGAGCCCAGGCCCGCCCACAACACGAGCCAGTGCAGCCGCAGGAAGGGCGCGAGGCCCAGAGGAGACCAGCCCGGGCTGCAGGCTGGAAAAGGCACTCGCGCTGTTTCCAAGGGGACAGCACAGCGGCCCGTCACAAGCCGGTGAGGGACACCGTGTCCTCACAGGCAAAAACCCGCACATGCCTTTCGACTCCCCCAAAACCTAGCGAGGAGTAGCCACCGCTGAGCAGAGACCTCGCTGACAACGCCGGGTCGCACGTGCTGTGCGCTGAATGTGGCCGTGTCCTCACGACAGCCGACAAAGACAGCACAAAGCTCAGAAGGCCAGACGAAGACACCAACAGTCACTGTCCACGCGCACGAGTGGGTCCCAGCAATTCCCAGCTGCCCGGGTCAGTGCTGGACGGAGCGGGTGTGGGAAACGCGAGTGCGGGGAATGACAGCCGCCCGTCCTCCCTCTATCACGTCCTACTTCTCTGAATTCGTGGGTGCGAAACGAGGGGGTGCACCCTTACCACAGCTGCAGGGAGACGGAGAGGCCACGCATTTCCACGGTCATTTCGATCAGACGTGCATGTGTGTTTGCATGTGTGTGTGTGTTTGTGCTCCCTCTCTCACGGGGCATGTCGGCCCTCGTGTGTGCCCAGCGACCTGCCCAAGGAAGGCACAGAGCTGGTGCCCTTGTCCCCGTGGGCGTGAGCCGAGGCTGAGCGCACGCAGCCCAGCCCGGGGCAACCACGGCCGATGCGGCGGGTGGTTCCGAGGGGTTACTCCAAAGGGCAGCATGAGAACGGGACCTGCAGAGCGAGCCCTACCGCAGGCCACGCCCACGCTAACCTCCCAGGGGCCGGGCCGGGTCTGTTTCCCTCCTGTGACTGACCCAGGATGGGCTGACGGGAGCGTGGTACAGCTCTGAGCCCACACCTTCACATTCACGGCCCTGAGGCACCGGGAGCCCTCACAGCCTGGGCAGGAACCAGTTACTCCTGCGCCGCTGACGTAAAAAAAAGTCTCCTTTGAGGTCCGTGCCCGCTGGTGAGGCGGGTACTCCCCCCACTGCTGTCAGGGCCTGCCGCAGCCCGGGACCCGGCCTGCTGTCCGGGCCAGC